TGAAAAAATATTGTTCTTAAGGAATAATAATTGAATCGTTCTAAAAGAACAATAAAAGAAATTGTTTTAAAGAAACAATGATGTATTATTCTGATAAAATGATGAAAAATAATCATTCTAAAGAAACGATTATGTATTATTTTAAAAGAATGATAAAATAAATCATTCTAAAGAAGATGATGTATCGTTCTGATAGAACGATGAAAAAATAATTGTTCTAAAGGAACGATGATGTATCATTTCAAAAGAATAATAAAAAATAATTATTTTAAAGGAATAATTATGTATCATTTCAAAAGAATGATAAAAAAATTGTTTTAAAGGAATAATGATGTATCGTTCTGATAGAATGATGAAAAAATAATTGTTCTAAAGAATAATGATATATCATTCTAAAAGAACGATAAAAAAATCATTCTAAAGAAACAATGATATATTGTTCTAAAAGAACGATAAAAAATAATCGTTCTAAAGAATGGTTATGTATCATTTCAAAATAATGATAAAAAAATCATTCTAAAGGAATAATAATATATTGTTCTGATAGAATGACGAAAAAATAATTATTCTAAGAAATGATAATGTATTGTTTTAAAAGAACGATAAAAATTATTTTAAAAGAACAATGATGTATCGTTCTGATAAAATGATGAAAAAATAATTGTTCTAAAGGAATAATAATATATCATTCTGAAGAATAATAAAAAATTGTTTATAACAATGATATATCATTCCTTTGGGAACGATTTTATCAATATTCATATTATTCATATATCTATGAATAACATGGATATAGATTATTCATATTATCTGTATATTCATAGATAACATGAATATGGATTATCTGTTCAATTTTTTTTAAATTATCTATATCCAGGTTTAATTTTTATATAGATAATAGATATTAAATTTATATTATGGATTTATATCTATAGATAATATGAATATTCAGAACCAAATTCTATTTCAGAATTTTAGGTATGTGAAATGCTTTAAGATGGATTTGATAATTAATCCTAAATATGGTTTAGTTTCATAAATAATAGGTTTGAAATCAGAAGTTTGAGATTTAGCCCAACTTTTGATAATTACTATGACTCATATTCAGTTTTTTTTTTATATTTTTTATATATAAGTTAAACTGGATCTTATCTATCAACATACTTGATAAACTATTTAATCTAATATGCTAATCCAAATATTCAAAAGTTAATATTTTATTGAACTTGATTATATTACCTTTTTATATGATTGCAAATCAATTAAAATTACAGTAGATAATAGTCAACATAAATTAATCTTATAAAAAATATCATAATGAAGTATGAGCAAATATAAGGTAAGTTTTAAAGGAATCACTTTAGACTATGTAGTTATATTAATTTTACGCTGTTCACATTCAATTAAATAGAATCTAGATATATATTTACCTTTTATACTTTTTTTCTTTATAATTTAATTTGCATAATGAGTATCATTTTTCATTGATAATTTCATAATAATCAAAATTTTTACTACTAAATTTTCTATATAAATTAGAATATTAAACTAATGTCTTATTATGAAAATAAGTATAGTTGTAAGTTGAATTAATTCTAGAAATTAGTAGACAAGAAGTAGTAAAAATATTTGCATTAATTTGATTACTATAGGTTATCTTTGAAGATATATGACTCTGATTGTTTTCCAAGAAAATAGTTTTAAGATAACTTGATATATAATATTTTAAATTTATGTAGTAATTAATTTTGAAATCTCATTTGCATTGCAAGTATTATACTTAATCCTACATCATTCTTTTCAAACAATTTGTGAATTTTTTTAGTTTTAAGAGTTTAATCTATAAGGTAACTAATATAACATTAGTTAGATATTTAATATTTCCTTATATATTTGTATTCTTGTAGTTTTATCAGTAATTTTTATATTATAACAAATTTTAACAACTTTATTTTCAAAATTATCTAAATAATAAATTCATGACAAGATCTCTTCATGTTCAACTCATATTGTATTCTGAAACAAATAGATTAAATTTTGTGTTATGATTTAGTTGCAAGATGCTTCAGAAGATTTTATAGTTAAATATTACTCATTAGATAGAGTAATGATACTACAATTCTATAAATCACATATTAGATTAACTTCTATATTCTAATTTTTAATAAGTTCAATCTCATCAGAATTATCAGTGGTAGAATAATCAGACTTAAGTCACTTCAATTTTGAAATAGTTTTTTGTTGATCATTTCTCAAGAAAACAGTTTTGTATTATTTTTGATTTCATTATTTCTTAAAGAAGTTTTTATAATAAGCAATAAGTTAAAAGGAATAGTTAACTTACATTAAATTTTTTTCTTCTTATTCCTCTACTTTATTTTATCGCTAATCCTTTTCTTATTAATATCATCTTAAAAAAGTATCTGCCTTTTTATTCTCTGATGACTTAAAGCTAGCAGGTATCAGGTGATTTATAAATAACTATATTTTTGGTATTACATTATTTGTTTTACAAACAGAATGTTATTTAAGCTGAACTGTTATAGATTCTGTTATATTGATAGTCCCTTAGGAGAGAAATCATTCTGTGACTATCTAGATCCTTATTTTAAATTTATAACTCTAGTCTTAAGTTTAGCATTCTCAACTAAAGTATCAGCACTATTTTTCTTTAATTCCTTGATTCTGACCTTATACTTAGAATTCTCAATATCATGTCTAACATTTTCTTTAATAATATGTTTCAATTTCAAGTTTTTAACCTCAATCTTAGCATTTCTGATCTCAAGCTCAACTTTTTCTACTTTAATCTTAATATATTTAACCTCAAGCTTGGTGAAGTATTGCTTCAATAAATTTATTTTAGATTGTATATCTGTTAAATATAATACTATTTATGTTTTATATGTTAGTATTCAAAATTAAAAAATTTATGTAACATTATTATCATTAATAACCACTTTTGCCAAGAAAAAATTCCTTCTCAAAAAATATATTTTTTCAAAAGGATAATCTTCCATTATTTTCTTATCTTAATTATATAAAACATTTTATTAAAATAGTTATATTATTCTTTCAAAAGTATTATAAATATGAAAAAGCATTAATATATGCAAAAAAATAAATACAAATATTCAGGACTGTACCTATAATACATGAAGTTTCTATGCTATGATTGTGAGAAGACTAATATATATGATTATTTTCTATCCTAGACATATTCTAATCCTTGATATTAGAGATACACTTTCCTGCAATATTATTAGATGACTTTTGCTTTTTTGAAATCTTAATTGTTCATCACTTTGTAAAGCTTCCAATAACTTCTACATCTCCTCCAACAATTATACAATATGACTTAAAACTTCTTCAACCATGTTCACTTTTATATATAATGCTTACAGTTTCTGATAATTTCAATTAAACCTTCTTGTTGAATGATACTCTATTTCGATAAAAAAAAAATTGACTATTATTTTGCAAAGACAACCAGTAATTTGCTAAGAAAAACGAATTTAAAATGTAATAAATTCAAATTCAAGTATAACAAGAAGTTGTTATATACAGCATATGCTTATTTTTACAATTCAAATTCTAAAATTAATTTATAGGGTTTTCTATATTAAATAAATCTAAATTTTTTTTTTTGAAAGAAATAATACATAAATAACTTGAAAAATTAATCCTTAATTTTAACTTTAATTTGTAAGTGAAATTTCGAGCTTCACTTGTTCAGATATTTCTTTACAAAGAGTTCTGATGTGCATACTTTCTTTATCCCACGAAGTATGAATATGTGATTTTAGTTCACTTTTTAATGGTGGAAAGGGAATTCCGTTTAATTCCATTGTCTTGATGAAAATACAACGATAAATAGTCGAAGCATTAGGTTTTTTTGCTTCTTTCTTATTTTTTTTAGAAATAATATCTTTTGGTAACAGAAGAAGATGGTTACGATTAATAAGATCTCTGATTTGATCTGAATCTAATTGATCCATTATGAGTAAAGAAAAGGAATGATTAAAATTTTCGTGCCGTTTAACACTAAATTGAAAGAGAAAAAGATATCGTTGCGATTCTTTTTTTAATAAAGGAAGTAAAACCTTAAATTGGAATTGGAAGTTTAAGAATCAACCAATATTTAAATAAAAAAAATTATAATTACATGTATACCGTGAAACAAATTAATTGATTTTTTAAATCATGTTATTCCTTTACACGTTTATTTGTTTTTTTTTTTGTTCATTTGTAATGTCATTTGTTTTTTTCCCCAATAGAAAAAAATAAATGATGCGATCACTCGACCAATAAATGTTTGTTTATATTGCTATTACCCTTTTAGTTTAAAAACAATTTCCATAAGTAATAAGCGAGACTCTATTGGTTCATTGCGACATTTCTGAGACATTTCTGGGTCAATGGCGATGAGATTTTGTAATTTGTAAACATAGTTTGATAATACGCGTTACTGCCATGTGGACGGACATTTTATCGCGATCTTATTTATTAACAGATTATCGAGAAAAATTATATTGTTTATTATTAAATTAAGAAAGAATATTTTTTTTTAAAGGGGGTGAAGCATTTATTTATAAAAATTCAATTTCTAAATTTAAAGTATAAAAGAAAATCCCACAAGGGGTACAAAAGTAGAAGAAAAAAATAAAGTAAAAGCTGCTTAGCCTGCCAAATAAGAAAATTTATTTAACATTTTTGATTCCCAGGGTTTGAGATTTTCTTCCAAAAATAGAAATTAATCAAAAAAAAATTTAATATTCTAAAATTAAAGTTAAAAATTAAAATAAAAAATAAAATAAAATAACATTATGATAGTACATATCTAGTTCTCTACTGCGCTGCTGTAAAGTTGAATTACTTCTCTTAAACTAATATTAGCGAACGATAATTATAAATATATAAAAACAAAAAATACTAAAGTTACGAATAATGAAGTATCTATAATACCAACAATTTCGAGGTTCATTGATCCTTGTATTATTTTATTTTGATGAAGACAATACATCGTCTATAGGATTTTGACCTTCGATGGTTGAAATACGACGCTTATGGTTTTGTGGTTGGTTATCGTCATCATCAGGATGCTGACGCTTATTGATTTTATCATCACCTAACAATTGTTTTCTGTAAATATTGTTAATTTGTTCGGAATAAGCCTTATAACATTCTTTCCTTTCTTTTGATTCTGTTCTCCATAAATAACCTGCCAAAGGTGAAATTAATTTTTGATCCAATTTTATTCCGGATCTTTCTAGATATCGACAAAAATACTTTCGATATACAATAAATGCATTTCCTCGATTCTCGCTAATCCTTTTTTTTCTATCGAATCTTGTCACAAACTCTTCAATTATAATATCAGGAGGAAAATTTGGTCTGTACGATTCATCAATTATTTGAGAAATGCCCTCAAGGTACGAAGCAGATTGTAAAAATTGATTATAATCCATTTTAATCTTGTCGAATGGGTTCATTTTTGTCAAAAAAATAATCAAAAATCAATAAAGCAAAATGTATTGATTTATAAGAATTTCATTTACTTTTTACTTTCAAACTGATCTTTGATAATGTAATGCATGGATATTGAATGCATTGTAAATGTCTTAATTTTTTCCTCTTTCAAAAATTTCTCAACAAACAACCTTCTTTTTTTTTATTACTTTCATAAATATTAAATATTTTGGACTATGTTCATGTTCCTTATTTTGTATAACATCCACATTCAAAAATGAAACAATATCCATTTTCAATGAATTTTACCCCTTAAAAAAAATTTTTTCATTTCTATGATTAATAATTAATAAAACATTCTATATGGACTTTTTACGTATTCAAAGAATTAAAGTGTTAAAAATTCTAAAAAATAAACAAATTTGATTGTGAGAAATGATTATCATAATATTATTGTCCTACTACTCCCTTTTAAGAATTACCTAAATTAGCTACGCGGTCTTTCATGCTTTCTTTACAATTATGAAAAGACTAGAGACATATATAATAAATATGTATAGAACAAAAGAGAGAAAAAAAGAACCCTTGAAATAATATAGAATCTCCAACGCTTGACATGTTCTTCCAGTCTTCGATCCCGAAATATAGGCAGGACATCAACAATCAGATCAATAGCAACACAACATAATATTAATTATGTTTTTGAATAATATGAAAACTATTGAAGAATGTTAAGTATCATTCGTAAATATCATTGCCTTAAATAGCTGCCTATATTGCATTTCCTTATTACGAAGTCACTTTGTTGCGATCCTTGACGAGTTGAGATCTCGCACATTCCATTTGGCTTGATCTAGCAACCGACACCCTGCAAGGCAAATTGTAAAATAGATACTCCATATCAATTTGTCCAACTATTAAAACTCAAAAACCTAAAATTTGCCATTTCAGTTTCACAAGGTTTTTTCTAGTCGGCGCGATGGTCTTGGAAGATTGTGTTAATCAACAAAGATTTGTATCCTTTAAAAATATGTCAGTACTGTAATTGTAAATTGTATTTCAAATTAGAGAAGACTAAAACTCACAAGAAATATCGATTATTTCAATTTGTAGAAGATCAAGTATCTTCAAATCTTTACACAACTGGGAATAACTAGTAACAAGACATTGCGCGTTCTTTAAGCACGTCTGCAAGCGAGTTTGTCTTTTGAAAGTTTTCGAAAGATTCTGTTAAGTTGTTTTTGATTATAAGGTATATCTGAAATCCAAATCTAACAAGGTAGCAATTTATGTGATGTTATCTATACACGACTTATCTGTAATGTCTTTCTGCGTTATGCTGCATAATCACCCTATCCTATGGATTCGAATTCCATTTATTGATTATTATTGTTTTTAATATGAGTGCTGGATGGATTACAAATTGTCATGGAATCAATAAGAAATGATGGAAGTTATTTGGCTGTGTTCATGGTTTTTTCAATTCAATGCGAAGAGATGATAGTCATTTTGATGGATTTTCTAATTCTGAGCTGTAATTTAGATTAATTTCATTATCTAGGATATCATGATATCATGCTTATATATTGTTCCCAAAAACACTTTCCTTTTGTCAACCTTGTAAAATATAGAATTAAGAATAGTTCTTACTTCGTGTAAAGGCAAATCAATAATAATTAATCAGAGATAAGTCGCAACCTTTCCAGAATGTTCCAATAAATGAGCAGCATTATTGACTTAAAATCTATCCAATTTCGCTTTATTTTTCTAAATTATTAGCAAGGAATTGGTATTCTAATATTAGTAAATATTTTTTAGAATGCATCCTGAAATATTTTAATAATTATATATTTTATATATATAAAAGAAATTTGAAAATTTAATTGTAATAATAACAAATGAAATATTTTACATTTCATTAAATTAATAATAATAAAAGTAATATTTAGTATTTGAAATCCAAGAATAATTTTATTATTAATAGTAATATGTAATTTAATTTAATAATAATATTTGTAAATAAAAAACACAAATACTAAAGTATTTAAAATAAATCTATTTTATTAAAATAAATTTTAATTAATTATTTTTAATTTAATTAAATTATTATTATTAAATTTATTACTTATAAAAAAAGGAGTTTATAATAAATTTTGCTTAATTTGATTAAACAATAATATTTTAAGTTATTATGAAAAATTATTAATATAAGATAAAAATTTATTACATTTTATTTTATTTTAAATTTATTAAATATATATTATATAATCTAAAATATTCTATATATATTATATTTTATAAAATTAAATAGTAATAATCATATATATTTTTGACTTTTAATATTACAAAATAGTTTAGAATAAATATTATACTAAATATATTATTATTTTTATAAATTTAATTATATCATAAAATTATTTATTAATTAATTTAAAATTAAATTTGTTGATATTTAATTTTTAATATATATAAAATGTTATTTAAAAAATCAAAAATTTTTTTTTTTTAAAAATAATAATAAAAATTTTATATATATGGGTGGTGTGCTATTAAAATTAAGGCATAAATCATATAATTTATTATGCCTTAGACCTCAATTTAATAGCATATCACTCATATAAGTATAATAAATATAATAAATAAATTTATAATATTATTAAGATCTGATTATTTGATTTGACTGATTTGTCATGTTATTACTATATAGAAAATTATAAAATTTATAGAATAGTTACAAGATTTGCCTAAATAATAATCTTCAATTAATTTTAATTAATAGATAATATAATTAAATTATTATATATTTGATTTATAAATTATTAAAATAATTTCTTATTTTTTAGTTTATTTATTATTAAATAGGTATAAATGTTTATTAAATATAAAAATTAAGATCATTATTTTTAGATTATATAAGTTTTATAATATAAATTAAATAAATTACTTTTATATAAATTTATTTTTTATTTTTTATAAATTAAATTTTTTAATAATAATAAATATTATGTAATATCTACAATCTAAACTTCAGTAATAAATAATTTGAAATATAATATATATTAATTAATGATTATTTAAAGAAAATAATAAAAATTTTTTGAAATTAATTTAAAAATTTAAAAGTTAAAATAAATATTAATAAGAATAAGAAAAATAAATTAATAGTAAAATTATTACTAAAATGTAAGTATATAAAGAAATAAGACTAATTATTTTTATTTAATCACTCATTATTAATTATCTATTATACTATAGAATTCAATTTCAACATCTTGATTTTTAATTATTAAATAAATTAATAAAAATTTAAAATTAAAATTAATTTTTTAGATATAATGTTTTGAATTTTATTAATCTAAATACGCAGTTTTAATTTTATTATCAATAACTCAATAAAAATATGTCATGTGAATTTTATTTTAAAATATAAACCAATAAAAACGGTTCTACGTGATCAAATAATATTTACAGTAAACTTTTTCTGATCAAAGAATCTTTTCCTCACTTAAAGTATCATCCAATTATTAACAATTTTAAAGGTTCATATTAACATTTATGGAAAATACATTTGAAATTTGTTATCGTATTATTTCAGCAGATACTCGGATTTTCCTTACGTTATGTTTTTTTTTTATTCCCCCCCCCCCCTTTTTTATTGTCTTTAAATACAAAGTTTTCGTTCGTAATATTGGATCAGCTGAAAGAAATTTGGTTTAATTAATAAAAAAATCAAAATTCAAATTCAAAACTGTATTTCACACCTTTAATGGACATCTTTGGTATACTTCGCTTGAGATAACATGATTTTCTGTTCCATCAGGCCTTCGATTATTAAATTAAAAATATGTATGAATAATATTTCACATGAAGTTATCACTACTTGATTACATGCATATAAACTCACCATTGTATATGAACAAAAATTCTGCTATCATTACGTACAACATTCAAAATAGTTGCATAGTTTTCCCAATTATCAAAAGCAAAATAATGGTATGTTCTTTCGTTTACTTCATTATCACTTTGTAATAGTTTTGAAACGTAACTTTCACCGCTTCCATTAATATTATCACTATTCCCGGTGGTATCCTTATCATTCGAGACGTCGGCTTCTTGAATTTCTTGAATGGTGCTTGAATCAGATTCTTGATTATCAAAATTATTTTTCGCTTTGCGAGATGATCTACGATCTCTATTAGTCTTAATAACGCCTTTTTTAGGAAGGTATCTCTTACGTTTAACATTGTTCTTCTTTGACCAATAAAGTCTGATCAAAGATGGTGCGCTTCTATTAAAAGAAAAAAAAAGGAAGAAGAAAAAAACGCGATTAATAACAATATATTTGCGATTGAATTTTTTCAATATTTTGATAAACATATAGATTTACATGTCTTCCTCATCAACCCAACTATTTTCTTCTTCGCTAAAACCCTTCCATTTGAGTAGATATCGAATAGCACCCTAAAAAAATTAAACAATTTCGATAAATGTTATTTCTTAACGAATTCTAAAGAATTCATAAAAACTTACATTCGTCTCAGTATAATGGTTAACAATAGCCTCGATTTCAAAATATATATTAGACTCAATCGACTCATCAATTTTATCTATAGAGAGCATTGATATTTCTTTGATGGACATTTTTATTAGTGGTATTTTTTTTGTTAAATGGAACGAATTGATTTTTTGTCAGTTTTTATTATTTAATTTTTGTAATATATCATTCGGAAAAAAATGTCCGAATGAAATTTCCTTTTTCCTTTCATCAAATCGTTTGTATCATTTGGGGTATTACAATCCATTAGGTAATCACATATCTATGCAAATCTATATAAAATTTTGGATTGAGTTAGATGTTTAAGGGGTGTTTTGGGGCATATTTTTTTAATAATTAACAAAATGAGTAAAATTACCTTATGTGCCACACTTGGACTTCTTTTCTTGGATAATAAAACTTTTATTTCGACAGTATTGTCCTGGATCTACTAAATTATTGATAATTAAATTAGAAAACTCAATCAAAGTAAACGAAATTTAATTAAGATGAAAAATTAATATTTTTCCGTAAATGACCCGTTAACTTTTTATGGAACCGGATATTTATCCTGTACTGTCTTTTTTTAAAGTTTTCTCATCATTTACGACATCAATTTGTATAACTTATCAATGATTATAACAGATTTTATATTCTACCTTTTTTATATTGATATTGTACCTATTATGTTATCTTTCTAGACCATTGTTTATATTAAACAATAATTACATTTTTTATAAATATTAAATTTAATAAATTATTGGCTATAAAATTGGTAAAAACGATTTTGAAAATAAAAAGTTTGTAGATAAAAAAAAAATTGAATAAATAATATTAATAAAAGTTTTATTAATAATCTATAATTTTTAAAAAACATAATTTTTTATATAGTTTAAATATGTATAATATACAGATGTTTATTTTTTTATTATTTTAATAATTTTAAATTGAAAATTATAAAAATTTAATAATTATAAATTGTGAAAAAAAATGCTTTATCAAAGTTAATAAAATAAATTTATATATTTAATATAAAATAAAAATATTATCCCTTAGATTGTAGGATTTCGCAGGCAAATTTGCCTGCTTATTTACTATAAATTATGTAATATATTATGATAAGATTTATCTTTTAATTAATAAAAAATGTAATGTTACTTAGAAGCTAAAAATTTGTTATTTTTAAAAAAAATTTATTTTAAAAAATTTCATGATTAATCTATGATAAACTTTTTAGAATTTGCTTTTAACTATATTAATCATAATAGAATATTATAAAATTACTTATAA